CTCTCGGTAGCTGGGGGAGAGTGGGATAAAGCAGGTTTGACCTTACTCTCTCGGTAGTTGGGGGAGAGTGGGATAAAGCAGGTTTGACCTTATTCTCTCGGTAGCTGGGGGAGAGTGGGATAAAGTAGGTTTGACCTTACCCTCTCGGCAGCTGGGGGAGAGTGGAATAAAGCAGGTTTGACCTTATTCTCTTAGTAGCTGGGGGAGAGTGGGATAAAGCAGGTTTGACCTTACTCCCTTGGTAGCTGGGGGACAGTGGGATAAAGTAGGTTTGAGCTTACTCTCTCGGTATTTGGGGGAGAGTGGGATAAAGCAAGTTTGACCTTACTCTCTCGGTAGTTGGGGGAGAGTGGGATAAAGTAGGTTTGACCTTACTCTCTCGGTAGCTGGGGAGAGTGGGATAAAGAGGATTTGACCTTACTCTCTCTGTAGCTGGCTGGGACCATGTCCAGGCGGTACATATCCTTTGCGTAATATTCCATTGGGCCGCTCCTCACACACAGGGTTTCCCGGCGGCGAGCTCTTTCCTTCAGCATGTCCCGGGTGCTGTTGTACAGTATGATGGTTTCCAGAGGCACTTCATCAGGAAGGTCATCAGGGTCTGGAGCCTCCTTGAGCTGCAGCTTACTGAGGATCTGTCCTCGGATAGCCTCGATCCTTCGGTGCCTGTACAGCTCTATGTCGAGGGTCGGGCACTTCGAGAAGCTGAGTGCACCCGGGGCACAGGCCAGCAGCAGCATCAGGCCCTGCAACAGCGACATCCGGCCCTTGCCAACACGCTGAGGGGGCTGGGGACAAGGCTCGCTCACAGCACCGCCTGCGGCTCCCGGAGCGGTCAGGGGGAACAGTCCTGCTGCCTGCTCTCCCCCTCTCTCTGTCTCTGTCTCTCTCTAACCCTGTTCCTCTCTGTCTACCCCTGTTCCCTTCTCTCTCTCTCACTCTATCTTCCCCTGTTCCCTTCTCTCTCTCTCACTCTATCTTCCCCTGTTCCCTTCTCTCTCTCTCACTCT